GTGCACTTCACCAAGAACCTAGAATATGTTACTACAGGGAAAATTGGCATTATTAGGGCACTTATGAGTTTTATGGCCTAACATGGAGCAGGAGTAACAACGCACGGGGCTTGGATGCCAGCAGGTGCTAGCTAAATGTGAAGCCTCGCCACATTTGAAGCAGGCTGGTCTAGAGTTATTGGGTGTTTTTCTGTTACCCTGTCTCAGTGAAAGGTTATTTCCTGCAATATGTACTCTGGGTGGAGGGGTAATTGAGGGTTGGGGACGTGTTTCGGGGTCCTTATGGGCATGGGAATTCTGCTGACTGTTTCTGTGGAAATGGTTATTCCATGGCTTAGTAACACTTTTCACTTTTTTAGTAAGACCCATATTGTAAACCAGGCGGTTGGTCCCTGAAGGTGCTAAATGCAGTCCATCACGGTTCAGAAACCTTTCATTCACTGTACCATCTTGGAGAATAAATGTAGAGTCATTGTTGACAAAGTTAGTATTTTCGATGTTCTCACACAGAACTTGGAGCTCAGCATTCACGGCTTGTGCAGTTGTGTGTGCATTGGCATTGTCTGTACGAGGACAAATGCTACTAACAGATATTGATTTGGCGATTGCATGCCCACCTGCTAAGAGGATGCATGTTGAGATACTCATATTAAAGCTGTCTTTTTTATATGATCATCTTTATTATCAAAATAAAATATGGGTTTTAAAAACATGCATTCATTTATTCTATCTGTATCATTAAAGGTATCGCAATGCCTATATATATTTTATTTAAATTTTCAATGAATATCATAACACATGTACTGGGTGTCACGAAAGTATGAGACCCCCCCCCTAGGAAGACATATATCAATGCTCCATAGTATGTCATATATCATTTTAAATTAAAGCCTAGCCAAAATTACATTGATTTGCCAAGTATCATGGTTCAACTCACAAATCAGAAAATGATACAGGCATTTCAAAATTTCAAAGATCAGTTTTACAACAAATGAATAGTCAGTGTGTTTCTCCTTGGCCATGTTGACAGCAGCAATTCTCTCGGATATAACTTTAAAAGCGCTTCAAATATAGGGTTGTGGCATTTTGTGGCATAGAACCTTTTTAAAGCATTTTAGCGGAGTTTCCTTGGAGTATTTGCCCTCAACTCACTTGGCAAATCAAAATAACTTTAGATAAGCTGTAAAACGATATATGCACACACTATGGAGGTATTGGTATATATCTGCCTGGGGGTCCCATACCTTCGGGACACCCTGAACATTACATTAATTATACGAAAATATAACCAATTTATGAAGCCTCAAACGCCAAACAAACGGCAATAAAAATCAATCAATAAACCAACATGTAATCATGCCTCTGTTGGAAAATTTCATTCATCGGAGAATTGATCGCTCTAAATGTTCTGAGTTGACTCTGTGGCGCAATGGATAGCGCGTTGGACTTCTAGTTGAGAAAATTGCGTAATTCAAAGGGTTGTGGGTTCGCGTCCCACCAGAGTTGCAGTACACTTTTTAAATAAGTGGTGTAAGGACGCACCTGTTGTCATCTTATCTGAATTGCTGCGACGATGGTTGTTCTTCATTTCCAGTCCCTTTGGCTTGTGTATATGCTTTTATATATTGCAATCAAAATAATATCAATTCCTCAGTTTAGCCAATATATCATAGTTTTTCGAATATATCAAAAGGTGGCAGGATTTATCGGAATGATATATAGATCCACACGTTCAAACAATCGATATCAGATTGAGTGGAGGTATTACCAAATACTTTTAGCCTTTGAGACAGTATCATACGTCAAGGACTTACCTAGGCAATTATCATCCCAAAGAACATTAAAATAGTTTTAAAAGCCCATAAAATATGTTTAGGCCCTAAATATATTATCGATATTTTGTGCTTAAAGTAGTACATGTATTTAAAAAGGAAAACAATTTTGAGGAATAATAAACTGAACAATATGTAATATCTCATAGGTCGACATTGGCTATGCTCAATAGCATACGTGTATATATTTGTATACATACATAGAGTTTTGGACTAATTGATTATTAAACTGATTATATTCTGCATGATTAGCCCTTGAGGTTGATCGAAAAAAGAAATAAGCACAAATGATACCATGATGATCAATGTGTTCAAATATCATCTTGGTCACAAAGAATGAAACAGGCTAGTTCACTTCTTTTCACTTTTTAGAATGGACAAAATAAGATTCAAACAATATGGGCGTTGAATGGAATTCGCGATTCGAAGAGGTAAGATTACAATTAGAATCATGGCCTGTTTGATTACCTATCAGCTGTATGTTCAAGATTTGGGGAAGCCATTCAAAGCAATTTTATAAATGATAGACAAGTTTCATTTAATGCATTTCTCTATAAATGTACCTTTGTTAATTTTTTATAGACTTTTGCTTGTCAAATAAGAAAACTATTGTTCGTATTTTTTAAAGTTTACTTTCGACTTTTCCTCTGTGATTTTTTAGTCCTTGACAATGAAAACCAACTCTGTGTAAATACATCCATGAAAGGTACGCCTCTACAGATTTAGCTTAACAAACGGGTAAATATGCTTTCTACGATTGTATTTTTGCCTTTCTGAATGTGCTTTGTCATTTCGTGCAAAAAACTTCACTGTAAATAAGATTCTTTAGATGTCAAAGTATTTTAGAAAATTAACCCTTTTACCATTCGATCTAGGGTCAAGATTGTTATGTCTAGAATGTACATTCGCAATACTCGTAGCATCTTTCTAAGTTGCAACGGAGAAAACATATGGAGTAGAATCGTGCTTTAACACGGTCAAAAAGTTCGTATAAACATTATAAATAAACCAAATAATATAACTACAACGTATTGTAGAAGGTTACCTTATTTCTTTCGAAATCGACAGTGTTGATAAGATATTATTTGATAAGTGTTAACTATTGTTTTCAAAAATTCGAACAAAGGCCAAATGTCTAGAGACCCATGCTTCCTCACCTTGAAAATTCTCACGAAAAGGATGATGACCTACTTTAGCGTGAATGGCGAGACATCTCCTGGAGGTACCAAGCTACATGCATTGTTGGTGAATAGACGCACACTAAAATACAAAAACACTGTAAGTAGTGTAAGAAACTATAAAAATACAATAAGTCATAAATACTGACATATGATCCAACAACGTTCAATATATTATAACAAATGACCCACATCCCCACATCGTTAAAACCATTTACCTGAAAACCTGTTGAATTAAAGGGGCATGAGATATATTTTGAATTACATTCATGAACTACATGTTTTCCAAAACAATAAGATAATGAAAAAACATTCTAACAGCTATACTAGTTACTCAGAGTAATGAAATCATTCTATAATTGAATACCTGATACCTAATTGAATAACTAAATGAGCAAAATCGCCTCACGTTATCAAGCTTATAGTAGTCAGAAAGTTGAGGGTTAATATTTTTCTCTATCCTACAAAAGATCCTGTGAAATCGAATACAATATAATAAAGTTATCATAAGTGTTAAGTTAATACAGGCTATGTGCGTTCTATTTAAGTTAATATCATGGCATGTTTGACGATTGAAAACCAGTAAACAAATAAATGGAGGTACATCTTTGGTAGAACACAAATCCAACTACGCACATAACGAGACTGAGTCATTCAAGAAAAGCCAGCGCATTATAAAACTAAGAGCATTGAATAAAAGAAAACAGTAGCAAATGAAAATTAAAAAAACATATATAAATATTAAGGGGCTAACGTCTTATCACATGCAGAAAAAGGTCTTACCAGCTCCTTGTTTTGACCTCTTATACCGAGCACAATCGATCAAAGTCATTTTTCGATTACGGCGAACAAATCAAACAAATAGAGCGCAGGTAACGTTTTAGGAGATCGATAGTTCGGTAATGTTTTGTAATTACTAAAAAGGAATGGATTTTTACATGATTAGGCGAAGAAACAAATTGCCAGAGGAATCAAGAAGCAGAGCTGATATTAGGCTCAATCAGAATTCGACATAAGACGTTTTTACCGTGGTTCAAATGAACAATTCCAAGTGATGGATTTACGAATAAGGACGATATAAATGTGGCGATCCATTAGTAAGAGTTGCAGAGATTTGGAGAGACTTGGGACATGGGTATCGTGTCCTATATGGCAGTTTGTGCTATGTCTAATGCTACTGGCTTTAGTCCCCAGAGCACAAGGTACGTGTACACCTTGTCCAGATGTCTGCGAGTGCCCAGGGACATCACCAAACTGCAGTACTCTGGACTGTACGGGACAAAACCTCACTTTTATACCTGGGAGTGTGGACGTCCCCGTGGGAATAACACACCTGTAAGTACATGTTGTAATTTGATACTTCATACATCCGTTAATAAATAAAATGTTGTCAGGTATTCAGAATTGCTGCGCAACGCTTTATAACTAACCCGTACATCACGACAGTAGACTGCGATACCATCCAATTTAATTTTTGATACTTAATTTTACAAGTATACGAGTGCTATTTTCCCAAGACAATATATTAGTTATTTCCCGTCAAACACTTTTATTACAACTTGCAATTAATGCTTCATATTCATTCTTTTAGAAAACTTGGAAACAACGATTTAGGGCCAGACATTCCAATAGGATTCTTTCAGAACTTTACTGATCTTATTTTTCTGTAAGTACTTTGCAATCATTCGTCATACGTCAACTAATTTGTCATTAAAGATATATACTTAGGCCTATTTTGCAATCATTCGTCATACATCAAAGAATTTGTCATTAAAGATATATACTTAGGCCTACTTTGCAATCATTCGTCGTACGTCAACGAATATGCCATTAAATATATATACTTAGGCCTACTTAGCAATTATTCGTCATATACTGTATCAGCCTATTTTACGATCCTTTGTTTTACCGTAATTACAAAGCAGAATGCCAATATAGAAGTTTTTTGATCAATAGTTCCCAATTCAGCAACAAACTAATGTTTATGATTATTTGATTATCGGAAACCGTTTGCTTAATCTTTCAGTAACCTGACGAACAATGGCATTGCGACATTGGATAACAGTATTTTTAAGACGCTATCTAGATTAGAAGTATTGTAAGTATACCCGATCGTTCACATAAGTCTTAACTCTTCATTGTGTCCTATCAGTTTTTTCGATCATCTGTACTTTTACTCATAATGATAAATGGCAATACGATCTTTTGATAAAAAAGGTTTTTTGAATCAAGTATGTTGTCCGCTTATTACTAAAAGGCAATGATGGCTGGCGGGGATGATTTAGAGAATTTGGGAATTGTGTGTTTACAATGCTAGTCAGAAAAGATTCGGGTGATGAAAAAGTATTGAATCTAACTGATCGAATCCCATTAACAATCAACTGAGTGCTATTTATCTTTGAATTCCTATTTGACTATAAAACTGATTTTTTTCTCAACATGTTTGACTAAAGTTTAATATAAACATTCTTTTACAAAACTTCATATTTTTAAGGGATCTCCGATACAATGATCTCACATCACTCCATCCAACAATCCTTGCGGGACAAGGACATTTATCTTATTTGTAAGTAGTTTGTCCTTTCTCGTAGTGTAATTAACGAACAGTGATTTGGAAAAAATAAATGGAATACCAACCGATCAGATCAAACACCGATTATAAGATGTGTGATTGCATGTTCGTCGCGTATCACATATTTGCAATGTTCAAAGAGTTCTCTGTTTTATTGTCATTTTCAGAAATATAGCCTATAATAGTATTTCTACAATTGATTCCACGTTGTTTGATGAGTTGACGAGCCTGAAGAGCGTGTACGTTTGCTTTGCACTATACTTTGTTGTTAGAAATACAAATATTATCCTTATGATAGCACAATTTGTAAATGTTTAAAGCCTGACCTAGATTGACATTTAGCATACAAATAATGTATCAATTTAGGCGAAGTCAAACTAAAAAACGTTCACCTTATATATTAGACGTATTTACAGCAACGGCAAGTAACTGATATTGTACTATAAAAACACTTTTTCATTCACATATACACTTTTATTATTAATGTATATTGTCCTCGTCCTTCTAGGTATATTGGCAGCAATCCACTGCATTGTGATTGCACGCTTCGACCATTTAAACTTTGGGTGAAGAAGTCTATCGAAGAGGGTGTTAACTTTCCCGATAACACATCTATAAATTGCGTGTCCCCAATTGAAACACATATTCTGTCTTCTACATCCCAAAACTTTGTTTGTGGTAAGTTACATGTACTCATATATTGTCGAAATGAATATTACAATATATACCTGTTTAATATGTTGATGTTGATCCAAGGGCTTCATTCTGTTCTATGGACCAACTTTTTTGTTCTATGAATTGGTTTTATAAAAATTCACGAAACGTTAAGTTTGTATTTTTACATTTTCAAAGCGATCATAAAACTTGTCTTTTTCCAGATTCTTTAAACTATACATCATGTGTGATGGATTCTAAACGCGGCTATGTAATTCCTGCAACGTTTCAAAATATCTCGACGCAGCATGATAATCGTGAAGAATGTAATAAACATTGTTTTATCCAAGGAAGCACACTTGCAGCTATCTCGTCAAATCCACAAATAGAGCCAAATCGAATCGAATGCTTTTGTGGAATCCAAATAGAATCATATACCTCTTGCTCATGTTCTCATCTCGACACAAAAAGTGACAATGATGACTTTTGTGGAGGATTATACATCAGCGATTCTTTCCTAGTTACAGCCAATCTCACTCTAAGTCCAATAAAAGTACAATCAGTATTAGATATTCTATATTTCAATCTCAACTCACTTTTCCCGATGGATACTTATATTTGGGACTTCGGAGATAGTGAAACAATGTTCATGACTTCAACTAGCTCTTCAACATACGCTTACTCATTCCCGGGTGAATACAATATCCATGTGACAGCAACCCTTAGTGGACAAAATGAAAGTCTGGACTCAGTAGTAAGGATAGTAGCTCCACTTGAAGCTGCCATCGAAGGAGACGGCGACTATATTAGTTCAAATGGTAATGCAAACGTACATGCCACTGTAGTACAAGGCTCGGATGTCAGGGTTTCCTGGACGAGATATTCCGAGGATGGAGAGAGAGTTGAAGGTAAGTTCAATATAGATCCTTGGAAACCTCCCTTTAACAAAACCTTATTTGCGTTTTGTAATATCCTCATATTTTGCATCATACACACTGATCCAGATTGGATTGCACATGTTATATTATCAGTGTTTGTAATTTAAAGTTACACTTATAGACAAGTCTTGCGAGATTGGATGGAGCATGGACAAGGCGCGATGTTTCTATATTTCGGACACATCACTGGGGTTCGAGTCTGCATCCAAACAATGCACCTTGCGTGACGCCACACTGGCAACATTTCCCAACAAGGGACAAATGCAGCATTTCTTAAGAAAGGCTGAACTGGATCACGCCGTGTATGTTATTGATGCTGTTAAACATGAAGACGTTTACAGATGGAACAGCACTGGTGTTGATACATACTTTGAAGCACCTGGACTTAATGGAACTGGGCAATGTATTGGGATTAACGGCTCGACTGGGTTACTTGTACCATTGAATTGCACAGCACCGCATCGTTATATCTGTGTAAAGGGTATACCCATTTCTTATTTCTTTGACTACACATGATTTGGAAAACTGAACCATAATAAATAAAAGTATTATTAAGCACGATGTGTTCTCAACATGAGCATTTGAATAAACTTAGATTGAATATTTATCTATAGATGCCGTTGAGTGCCCATTGGGAGGCTCATTGTTCTCAAATGACATGTGTTATTTGCTGGTGAAGGAGCCACAAACTTGGGAAGAGTCATTTGGTAGATGTTTTGAAATGAACGGATCACTAGCAGTACTTGACAAACCAGATGTTTATCAATTTGTGACAGAAAATGTATTCCGTGATTCAGGGTGAGCATTTTACACAAAGGCATGATATGTCACATTCAAACCAGACCAGAGCATTTATTATGACATGCATTCTATATTTTAAAACGTATGAATGATTATTTCTAGATTCAGTAAAATTAAGTAAGTACCCTTAGTCTACCTCATCAATACCATATTTCAATTTGGCGTCGAGTGAAGGACGGAATTATATCATAATGCAGGTACTAATGCAGGTTAAATGTTTCTGGTCGAGCTTCTTTCTTTTAAGTAATATTGTACAAATTGTTTGGTCCCACCCTTATTCAGTCATAAAGTACCATCGTTCTCAAAATCGTCCACAAATTATTGAACGCTGGGTTTAAATCATTCACTTAAAAATGCTTCAAATCATTGGATAGTTACATTAGAATGTTTTACAATATGAAAGAATAAAAGGTTTATTATCACTATGTTGCTAAAAAATCTTGTTATAAGTTCATTTTCATGATATTAAATATTAGATATAAAGTACACTAATTGTTATGTGTTTTCAGTGTAAATATGACATGGTTGGGTCTTCAGAGACGCAGCCAAATTGGAGAGTCCATGTGGAATAATGGTCAGCCATTGGATATAAATCTTCACAGGCAAAATGTATTTGCGACTAATTCCTCGCAAATGTGTGGGTTTTTAACATCTACTTCACACAATCCTTATTATGTCATATCAAACCAACCTTGTGCTGAAGTAACAAATTATATATGCCAATACCCAAATGGGGCATCAATTCCTGAAGTTCCATCTGATGTTGTCGATATAGCAGATGAGTTATTAGTTAATGGTTCTACAACATCGTTAGACGGTGCCTTGGTTGCAACAAAGCAAATGGGAACTAGACTGAATACAGTTCTACTACCAGGTAGGTGGTTCACCTATATAATTGTCTAATTCATATAGATTTTGGTCCTTAGAATTGTGAAATAAAGACGCAATCCCCCATACAGCTACAAGACGCCAAACTCAGCACTTTATTGAGACTTTAATTGGCAAACACCGATGGACATTTAAAGAGTATGCTTTTTGCAGGTACATGGTTCAGAAGTAACGGTGTATTGACTGCTATAAGATTTACAACTGGTCTAGTTAAGAAGAATACGACTCTTCACATACACATATATAGGCCTGGCTGTACAGAAACGAAGCAACTAATATCACCAGGTATTAATGAACGCTTTTGCTTAAAATTGGTTTATCTATTTACCAATAATCTTTTTCATTGGAGAATTGATTTATCTATTTTGCAAGTAATCCATTTCAGTGGAGAATTTATATAAGGCATTAACATATGACAAACATAATATGACAAACAAACACAAATTTATTAAAGAAATCTTATTTGAAATTTTGATATTTCTAGGTTGTGACAATTCTGGCTACCAATATAGTGCTTGTCTTGACAAGAGTGACTGCAAATATTTAAAATCACATGACTGTAATTCATCACACCAGTACTGCCATCTTTCAAACACGTGCCAACTACGAAACATTCCATGTAACTGCAATAATATCACATGTCCGTCCATTTCTCATGAAGACATTCACCCCAAATTGCCATTTTATTCCGTCCAAGGTGCATATAGTCTGGAGGTTTTGCCTGGTAACCAAACCACATACACTGCAAAATTGCCGCAATTACGTCTCCAGGAGAATGATATTATTGGATTCCAATATGGCTCCTCTGGAGAACCAGTATTATGCATACAAAACTCCCAATCGAAGTGGAGACAAAACATTTTAATACAAAAACTGCCAGAAATTTTTACAATCAATGATGTCCTCCCAGCCACTGTATTTAACTGGAAGTACGATATCGTCTGCCACATTCAAATCTTCTATGGCAAGACATATGCGTTTTCACCTCCAGCATACATGCTCGAAGATAACCTACGTGCAGGGAGATACATTTATAGTGCCAAAATATACAGTATCGAAAAGGTCATCGAAAAGAATGTTTCCATCCTGGTTGAAGATAGCATAACACGTTTATCGATAGTTCATCCAATGCCAAAGAAAAACAATGTATACATTGAAAGAAATGTATCTACCACGTTACTCATCAAAATAAACAGAGGTACTAACGTTACTGGTCAAATAAATGATCTATCCGTGAATTATATATTTGTACCACACTGTCCAACAGAATTACATCCATATTCAGAATGCTCTAGCAGAAAGAAAAATGAACAGTTTATTTGGGAGAAGTACTTGCTGAAGAACATAGAACGCATTACATTATCTATAAAGGCCACCAATAATGTAAGCTCTAGGATTAATGCGTATGTCTTACATTCCCAGGATGCCATTAAGGGTGTTACCATCATGACAAATCACTCTACTGGGGCTATTTTACTTCATCAAAATCTGGAATTTATCGGAAAAGTTACAGCTGGAACGGATCCAGAATTTACATGGTATATAGATTCAAATCTTGTTCATACAAACTCATCACCCGTTTTAAAATACTTCTTTTCATCATCTGGAAATCATAATATTTCCCTTGTTGTGTCAAATGGGGTAAGTTCTACAATTAAAACTTTGGAAGTTAGAGTGCTCCAAGAAGCAAATATGTCTAACTTGGTCATAAAAAGTGGCCCTAGGTGGACAGAACCAAATGCTCAAATAGCAATCACGTTTTCATTTCAAGTGGAGAGGAATGCTAATATTAGTTACACAATAGATTATGATGATGGAACAATTGAGCAGTATGACATCCCCGAAACATCGACTGATTTGTACTTTGAATTTACCCACATGTATGAATATACTTTCCTAGGATGCAAATATATAAGGATTACTACAAATGACTTATATAGCGAACTAACTGTACATCACATAATACACGTCCTCGTGTTGCTTGAAGACGTTCACCTAATTGGTCACCCGACACATGTAGCAACCAATCAAACTGTAAATATGACTGCTATTCCTAAGAACAACTGTTCTGCATGTACTTATACGTTCATATTCAATGGTGCCACGTTCCAAGACAACGCTAATGCAACTGCCGCATATTCATTTACTGAACCCGGTTATTTTGTGATATCAACAGTGGTGATTGACAACGGCAACATTGTAGGAAATGCATCTGTAAATATAACAGTAGATGAACCAGTGCAGGGCCTAACCCTGAATTACACTAACAAAATAATACTGCCATATGACAGCCTTGAGTTTACTATAATCAGCTGGTCTTTTAATCGTGGAACTAATGTGTTGTTCAACATATCATCAGATGAAGGCACACCTGATGTGATTGCAAACGACTCATCGTCAAAAACATATATATTTACAAAACAGGGAGTTTATAAAGTTAATGTTACTGCATACAATAAAGTTCATTCTGAATCGGCAATTGCTCGCATTGACGTTATCGACCCTCAGAATATAACAGCTTTAAAAATTGTCCCAATACCGTGTCAAATGATTGATACTGATGTTCAGTTTGAAGCTGTCGTTGAAAACCATAATTCTAGTCAGCATGAGTATGCATGGGACTTTGGAGAAAACCTCAGTGTGAACGGCACAGGCAAAGTAACTACTAATCATACATATTCGAAAATCGGAGTTTATAAGGTTATAGTAACAGTGACTTCAAAAACGATGAATAGATCTGCTTCAACCACCGTGTGTATTGAACAGCCTGTCAATAACTTCATTTTAGAAGCCGATGAGCCTGTTGCATTGAATCAAAGTTCACTTAATGCAAATACAACAATAACAGCAAAAGACTATGAATGTATAAACTGCTTCTTCAAATGGAGTCACGATGGAAATACAATTACATTATATGATGTTCCTACATTTGTGTTCAATATACAAAGAAGTGGAGTTCATGAAATCCGATTGACAATCTATAATAATATAAGCAGCCATGAAGAAAGTATTAAGGTCAACGCAGAGGATGTTATCGAGGGAGCTAAATTGATTAGTGAACCATCTGAGAAGTACTTCTCAATTAATGCAGTTGTAAAGCTCTCTATCAGTATACCACATGGATCAAATGTTGAATGTGAGTGGACCATGGGTACGGATAGGTTAGAAACGTCTCTGTTTAGCCATTACTACATGTTTAGATCTCTCGGAGTGATAAAGGCGAGTGTAGAGTGCAACAATCGTGTTTCTCGAATATCTGATTCTACTAACTTCATAATTGAAGGACCTGTTAGAGATGCCGTTTTTAACCAATCATCATATAATTTAATAACTGGAACTTCTCTTACCTTGAGAGTTGATACAAATCAAGGTGCAACAGATTTAGAATACAATTGGGCACATTGTTTGGCATGTAGCTCATTTCAGTCTATAAACAACACAGTCTCCTTCAGCTTTTCTACTGCCGGTGAGTATACTATCGCTGTTGATGTAGCAAATCATGTGAGTAGTTCCAAAGCAAATACTAAAATTATAGTATACGAAGAAATTGTGATAGAAGGAATCCACTCCAGCTATCCATCCTTTCCATTCATTCCAACTTATAAAACTGTCGAATTCAGTGTTAACATAACGAGGGGTAGTAACGCCATCATAGAGTGGACATTCTCCGATGCATCAATTGCCCTATCACCCACTTCAGATGTTGAGGTCACTCATGCATTTAACAGAACAGGTAATTTTACCATCACTGTACGAATATCTAATGATGTGAGTCAGCAGGAAATAACACAGATCGTTAGTGCCCAGGAAATTCTTAAAGAGTTTGACATTTCGGCAAATCATACTGTTGCATCTGTTGGACAAATGATATCATTTGTGGCGTCGTCTACATTTGGATCAGACTTGCAATATACTTGGGACTTCGGTGATGGAACTATAAAAGAAGGAGATAAACGTTATATACACGCGTACATGGCTCCTGGTTTATATACAATTAAAGCTACTGCAAAGAACCAAATATCATCAAGTTCAAAACAGATAAATGTGGATGTACTAGAACCCATTTCTTCATTGGATATTTCAAACTGTTGTAAGAGAGTTTACCAAGCTGATACAAGAGCAAACATGTCAGTAATAGTAAACAAGGGGACACGAGTTAACTGTCAATGGACTATAACGTCTCCTAATTTAAATGAGACTAACATCGATGGGAAAAATATTAAGCTGGACCTATCTGAGGAGGGTATTTATGAACTAATGGTTAACTGCAGTAATGGAATTAGCAGTCTCGTTACTAACAGATCTTTAGTTGTTCAGACATTTATAGAATCTGTAAATATGTTCGTACATGGCGACGAAAGATATCTCTACGCAAACCATCCTATTTATTTCTCAGCTATTGTACAGAATGGGGGTCGAGATACAAGATATAGGTGGATGACTAGTGACTCACCTCATATTTGGGAGAACTTCTCAAAAGTTTTCCTAAGAATTTTCCTTTCAAACGGGACTCATACAGTGAACGTAACAGCATACAATAACATAAGTTCAGCATTTAATAGCATGACCATCTCTACTCAGTATTTGCAGTGTTCTATACCAAGACTTGCGGTGGTTGGTGGAATCAGTAGGAGAGCTTTACGCTCGCGTCGCATCCATTTGGAAGTAAACATTGCCAGTAATGATTGTACAGCCTATGAGGTCAGACATTCCTGGAGGTTATACGACGATATCCCTTCATGCCTTGGCCTTGCAAACTCCAGCATAGTTCTTCCAGAAAGCTACGATTCGAGGAGTCCTATACTAAGATTACCTGCATGGTTCCTAGATTATGGCCATTATTGTATCGAATTCAAGTCTTCATATGTTAATACACCCCTTAAATCAACGGCTTACTTTGAGTTGGAGATAATTTCGTCACAATTGAAAGCCCTTATTAAAGGTGGTGACGAGAGACAATTATGGGAACATGACAGATTGACATTAGATGGTACTGAAAGCTATGATCCCGACCAACCACCTAATGTTGAACAACAGCTGACTTATATCTGGACTTGTAGATCAAAGCCAAAAGTGGTAAGTGAAACATTACATCAGTTTCAACTAACTATTATCATTTATGCATAGTTATTAAATGTAATATTAATAAACTATCTCGGGAATTGATCAGTTGTATTTGTTTTCCATTATTTAGACTCCAGCACTAGCGAGTACAGTTACAAGTAAGCCGCTGCAAATATTCGATGATGGCTGCTTCAAAATGTTGTCTGGACCTCTGCATATTTTCCCCATGGAAACATTTATTGGAGGTCGGGATTACTACTTCAACATGACCGTTTCTCAGAGTGTGATAGGACGTAGTACAACAGTCACACAAAAGGTAAAATTAACGAATGCTCCTTCATGTTTTATTAAAATTAAACACAATCTACATGTCTGAAACATCTGCTTCATATTTTAAATATTTACTCTTAGGTGACAGTCGAGTTATCACCAGTTCTCTCGGTCAATATTGGATGTATTTCATGTAAGGTCACGGATACCTACAAAATAAGCCGATCTTCATCTATAAAACTTATTGGAAGCTGTGATAACTGTGGGCCAAATGTAAGATACCTCTGGTCTGTCCACCGCATTGATGGAAAGGATGTAAAAATTGATGAAACCACCTCGACAACTGGAGCGAATAGAATCAATTTCGTCCTCCGCAGAGATATCATTGACAATAGTTTTGCGTATATATTCAAATTGAAAATAGATGATCTCGAGGGAGGTAAAGAAGGATATTCCTCTCTTACTCTTCATCCCAATGAGCCTCCCTATGGCGGCGCTTGCAGTGTATCACCTAGATATGTGATTGCAATGGAATCCAAGGTATGTGATCCACTAGTCTAGATATATCTTTTTGTATAGCGCCCATAATGTCCATGTTTTACGTTTTACGCCTGCATTCTTTTTTGTTGAAGGTGAATGCTACATGTAGTGGCTGGAAGGATGCTGCTGATAATAAATATCTTCCCTTGCTCTACACTATAACAGTAGAACGTTTTAATGGGGACCAAAATAATATTGAAGGTTATACTCTTTACCATGGACCTCAAAGTTCTCACAATCTTTACCTATCTTCTTGGCCAGAGAGTGGGGGTAACTCTGTTCAGCTGGTTATCAAAGTGGCTGACCAATATGGAGCATCAACCATTGGTCTAAACCAGTAAGTTTTCAAATACCGTTTTGCAGCAAGAATAATTTGAATCAGCCTTGACTCTATTTCTAATTTGATATGTCATGAATTTGATATGTTATGAGTTGAACTGGAATTATTTAATACTATTCTTTATTGATATATTAACATTTTATTCATAAAACTAACCATTTTCGTATTTCAGGACATTGATTATTGACAAGGGTTACACAGACGACTTCCCTGGAGGATACGTGAATTATCTCCATCAACATGTGCCTAAGAAGTTTGTGGAATTGAGACGTATGAATGACCCAGTAACCTTACTACAGTATGCCACGGGTCTGTGTATGCAACTGAACAAAGAGACTTTAAAAGCCTCTCGATTAGAAGTACGTCATTGTTGCGCACATATGTACATACAGAACAAGCAATGAAAGTTTGTGTGGAAATGGTCTCATAGATTAGTTGTGCTGAATCATTAAATGATATACCAAGTAGATAAAGTTGAACAAACATAAAGGTCATTCTAACTGAACATAACTTTTTTATATTATAGGTAGATAACGATGTGGGAAAACGGTCCTCAATACGAGATGAAATAAGTATGGCTCTCAATGATTCTTGTCCTGTACAAAATATAGAGGATGTGAAACCTATAGCATATCTTCTTACACAACTTACGGTAAATACCTTTGTACTTGTCACCCTTCCTTTAACATGTCCATTGTACCTAAGCCTACATTTATATCATGTTAGATTGAATTATTGAAAATTTCTTTATTAAGAACCCTTATGACCATAATGCCTTATTATTTGGCAGTAGAAGTACCCTATATGTTCACTATTCATTAGTACCAGCAATTGGGAAACATGTTAATGACAAGTAAGATGTACTACAGGATTGTTTCCTTCAACTCCTATTGACCAGTTTGATATAAAATGTTTGCTGTTATATTTAACAAAATCAACCAAAGCAGAATAAATCATTTGCTGAAATACACATACAGATTCTGTATAAACTATTAGATATTAGACTTGACATGATGTTTTAATGAAATCCCATCTCAGTGTTAAGATACAAAGACACTTAAATCAGGTATATTAACAGTTTCAGACAAATTTAGCTCTTTTCCCCAACATTCAGGATTTTGGTACAGTATAGTATGCAATTTAATTTTTTGATAACAAGTAAACGTTTATTGTAGATGTACACCGAGGAATATCAAAATCGAACATGCCAGATTGCTGTGTCAGACATTTTGGATAGATTTATGAATGTAATCGACGGCATCAATACTCAAGGATTGAGCAGTGAAGACATGAATACCTACACTGTTCTCTCAACAATGTCCAATCTCATGCAAGCTGTGAATTACAGACATTATATTCCACATAACATAACACAAGAAGCTAACTCATTTGTTGATCCGTATATCCAATCTGCTGACACCAATCTCACAACAGGAGAAGATGATATGCATCGAGAACGAATCGTCACTAATGTGCTAAACATGGTTGATGTTTTGGCGACGAGGTTACTGATGACTCAACTTCTTGATGAAACAATGGCTACAGAGACCGTTCCAGGACTTCATTTACGAGGTCAGAGAGTTCTGGCACAAAATATTCTGAGAGATCAACTTGCAAGTGGATGCCATATCAAGATTCCATCAGATTTTCTTCAGCAGCATAGAGATTCAGAAGTGTTTCAAATAATATCTGTATCCCCTATCAATCCATACACGTGGGGTTTCAGCAAAAACTTTGAAATTTCTACTTTTGTTCCAGCCCTAGTTTTCAAATATGCCAATGGGACTGAAATCAATGTGAAAAATAATCACGAGGATTTTTATATTGCTATGCCTGAGAGTTGGACAGTGACTGGTGAGCCTGTTCCGATACCCAGTCCTTCTATTACACACTCGCCTACAACTGGAGTAGTACACTCAAATACCACACTAAGATCATCTGAGACGCAAGCTCTGTGCATTAATACAACGCTTGATGTGTCGAATGCGTCACTTCATATTCAGGTGTTATTTAATGTAATTGACAATCAGGAAAATCTCACAGATGTGAACTTTTATGTTGTCGCGTTATATGCAGCGGGCTACCAACCAACGGACGATGAATATGACATCATGCAGAACATCAGTATTCTACATATGGAACCCAACGCAGACCACAGAAACTATACAATATTTCAAAGGTCAGTAAAATGGTCAGACAATTGTTGATAAGAAAATAAAATCATAGCTGTTATTTTATAATATTCGTTAGAATTATGCAGCTTGTTACATTCCTTTTTTATTATATATACTTTAAATATTCATTCTAGGTCATATGATCCATCAGTTCAACATTATGTAACTATAACAAACCCTCACAGTGACGTCAGCTTGAACATATCCATTGGTTATTTCTTTTCGAGCTGTCAGTATTTCAATACGACCAGTAAAAAGTGGCAGACGGACGGATGCTATACAGCGGATTTATCCACGCCTATGCAAACGATCTGCTCCTGTAATCACCTGACATCTTTTGGCGGAGGTGTTTTCATTCCAGAGGAAATTCTCTCCTTTGAAACTGTTGTCAGGATGACATCAGGAACAAATGTTGTTACCATTGTTACTAGTTTAATGATTGTGGTTATATATCTGGCTGCTATGATTGTCGCTAAGCGATGGGATCTACTAGATTTACACAAGATCGGTGTTGTTCCATTGTGTGGTAAAGATGGGGTATATCGATATGAAATCACAGTTTATACTGGGATGAGAAGGGGTGCAGGTAATTTTTGCAATTAATACAAATATTTATTTATATCTATTTATAAAGGTGGCAGTCTGCATTAGAAAAAATAAAAGCTTAGATATAGATTACTTAATTGCATAACATATCAATCTACATGAAATATATCAATTTACAATGTTTGGTTAGGGATATGGGATTATCCAGGCGTCTGTCCATTCGTCTGTCTACACTTGTGTTTCCAATCTTAACAGCTATTCGCATGGTTCATAGTAGATCATAGAGCACTTGATTTAATGCCACGGGGTTAATGGGGTAACAGTCCACTGTTTGTAAATAGAGATTGTGGATCATTTTTATATAAACTTAAATCCACTTGTTCCCATTTGGGACACATTCTCTTTTTACACTTAAATATTTTATATGATGTTGTAGGTACTACAGCCCACATAGGCATGAAACTTTATGGATGTGACTCGTCAAGTAGCGCATTCCATCTATCAAAACCGAGCGCATTCAAACGTAATGGCCGGGACAGTATGTTAGTTGCAACGGAGAAATGCCTCGGGGATATATGGAAGATATCAATTTGGCATGACAATACGGGACTGTCACCATCTTGGTATCTGTCTCATGTAGAAGCCAGGGACATCAGTGCAAATAAATCCTATTTGTTCAGAGCTAATTGTTGGCTTTCACTTCAACATAGAAATGGTGAACTCAAGAAAAAACTGCGTGTATCAGGTAAAAATGTACATGTACCTCACTTTGAAATTAAGGGTAAACATTACTTACATAGCACTTCATTAGTTGATGCGTTGAGTAGTAGTTCTCTTTATTGTACATCTCTTTGTATTCTTGAAGATCCGAAAGAGGTAGAGAGGTTCACCTGGGCATTCCGTAGTGAATTCGCAAGGGGATTAGCAGAACGTCACGCCTGGCTATCTGTGTTTGAACGAAGGGCCCAAAGTAGATACACACGTGTTCAAAGACTTACGTGTTCCGTAACCTACCTACTAATGACCATGGCTGCTATTGTTTTATGGTGAGATAATGAACCGCCTCGTAACATAATAATCGTATGTTTAGCATGTGACTATGGTGTATCTATTTTTATGTTTTATATAATCAATTTATATTATTTGCAGGTATGGTGTCTTGGCAGCAACTATGTATCCTGAAACATTGACAGACATCTTTACAGGAAAAGATATTTTGGTTGCAGTGGTGTCCGCTTTGGTTGCAATGCCCTTGAACATATTACTTGTCCAAATGTTCAGGAAATCCAGATGCAAGGTAGGGCTTGAAGTGCACTAGTCTTCATTGGGTAAACCAAGGAGAACCCTTTAATTTATATATTTGTTCCAATTGCTGTGCCATATTAAAATACATTTTCGGAAATTTTCCTTTGTGTTCGTGTGTGTGCTTGAAGAAAGCTTGTGATTTGTCTTTGACCTATGACTGCTGACCTGTACCGGCGATTACTAGAGTGCTGCTAACTCGATAAAAGGCTGGCGCTGGCTAGAATTGTCTATGGTTCTAGCCAGGATAAAGATACCAGTTCTTCAACTCGACAATGGGAAGAACTGCTCTACCTTAGTGACTAATATGTCATTGATATGACATCTAAAAGAGTCAATAAAAGATATATATAATAACATAACCGAGAACAGAACAGCTCTCATTAAGTACAACATTTGTTTGCAGATCAGTGCATCGGACTTGAATAACATAACTCAAACGGCAGTAGAAATGGATGCAATGTGTGAGATGTCCCAGCCTGGCAGTGAATGCGGCTCTGGTATCCTCAAGCCACATATTGGGCTAGGTTTGCATCGGTCAGATCCAATTCACCATGGCTATTTGGATAACAATAACAGTGATGCGATTCAACAGTACATAATTGACAAAAACAGGTAAGTATATTGAGCGATACATGACTGGTCTATAAATATGGTAGTTAATATCTGATATTTCTTTAACATATATTGCTAACAGAGTTGTGTGTGTTGCCAACACTGATGACTTTTGTCCATTTCGCATTTTGAGTATGAAAACCTTGTCTCATATTAAAATGTACAAAATGGGTGACAAAGGGATTCAACATTTGTCCCCACAACTACCAGCACAATAACAAATAGTCATAAACACATCCTCATGAATACTAGGCAGTGCACCAATACATTGTTTTTTATTCAATGGATTTTACAGACTTCGAAGAACTTCATCAGACACTGGTTCCTCTTTGTACGATAGAATCCTGAGATGGTCGGATAAACCATCCAACCTTTGGAAAGATGACGACTGCTCCTCAAGAGAACAAAGTGCTAGGTCTAGGCGCAGCTTAATGGCAAATAGAAAAATAAGCGTCCAAAGTTCTGAGGCAAGTAAAGTACTGCATTTGGTTTATAAATAGTAAACATTAGACAGCAATATGAACTATTTATTTCATGTTCTTCATTTCATTGAGGTTTATGTTTGACATACTTTCTAAAATGTAATCTTGATATTTGCAATTTCAGTTTTGTGAAAGTCCAATTCCGATCAATGAGGATACAGATGACTACAAAATTGACAAACATGGCACAGAAACAGGAAAAACATTTGATTCGAGACAAATGCAAAGACGTCGTAGAATGGGAGTTTATAGCAAAGATGAAGGGTTGGGTCCTGACATTTTGAATACGACAGAATCCAATGACAATACAACCCCAAGTTCAGAAATAGAGAATGGTTTACATTCTGAGGAACAGGAAGCAGAGTTGTCTCGTATGGAAAAGAATAAATCTGAGAGTAACTCTGAATGCTCTCATACTAATAACAATAACAGTTCTGAGAATGAAAATCAAAGCTCAGAAAGTGGCATTTTTACACGCTCCAGTGATTCATCTAGTATCAACGACATTGTAGATCAGGAACTACAAAAGGCATTCAGTCCTGCAATTTGTCCGGAATCTGATAAACGGAGGTCATCGAGAGGGCAAAGGGGAGAAAAAGTTAGCTGGACCGAGTTACCACCCAAAATATCTGATTTCATACCCCGACACCCAATTTCAACGTTAAAACGGCGCTTTTCTAATTTGACTGCCTCAACTGCTACCCAGTTTACAAGCAAAGGTTATTATGTTAAATTGTTTGCAAAAACGTTTGGTGCTATTACTAATGTTGGACAACTTATAACTCACCCCGATTTAAAATAGTAATCAGCAGGAATAGTGGAAAACGATGTTAATTGTGTTTCTGCTTCTCATTTGTAGGTTATCTAAAGAGAACAACAAATGACAACAAATGCCAACTACCATCGTGGTGTGTTTATCTGGCATACATCTTATGTTTTGTGCTGGCTTCTCTGAGCATTGGTGTTATCATTGGTGTTGGACATTCTTTTACTGTTACCATAGCAACCAAATGGGCACTCGCTGTCATTATTGCAACATCAATATCAGCCCTCGTATTAGAGTCACTGAAGGTAGGCAAACATCATTGATTGTGCAAGTAGATATAATTAATATATTTATTGAAAGTTTCAAACGATTCATATAGTTTATGTATATTTTTAAGTTGAGTGCACTGGGCCATCATTTTCTCTTGGCAAATGTATGATACTATATGCCTTCATATCAATAAAATAAATTGAGGCATTGCTGTCATACTAATTTTACACTTTGTATACTTTGAAGGTACTGATAATAGCAGTTCTTCTAGCTATTATGAAAAGGGGTACAACCTTGAGTGATGATGATGTAGAAATATCACCTCTGATAGAATCAAATGAGACCATTAAGGTAAGAATTAAACATCCCAGGTGTAACATTTCTTGAAATGTCAAAAAGGAATTTTGTAAAAATTGTTCATCTTGACATTTAGAATGAAAATTAAGCGAATTCTGATTGCATTATAACGTTTGAGTTCATGATTTCCCAGATCCAAGTTCTGCACTTTGGAAAAATCATAATATTAATCCAGTCGGCCAAAATGATAATTATTTCGTTAAAAATCTATGATGTGATGGATTTCATTTACAAGAAATGATTTAGATAGAAGTAGTCCTGCTTCATTACAACTTCATTTTTGCTCTCTTAACATCTAGCGTTAACTATTGACTTTTTGACAGGATTTGAAATGTAGACCAGTTGGTGGTTTCGCTTTGCATCACGCCAGAGAAGAAGCAGAGAAGCTTCGAAGGATGCATGCTCTCTTAAGACAGTTTGTTGTTTATGTGTTATTCATTTGGTTGGTAATGGTGGTCAACTATGTGGACAATCACACTGAAAGATACCGACTATCTGAATCTTTGAAAAACCAAATAACACATCCCCAGAATTTAAGCCAAAGATTTACGACAATCAAAAGGTATGTCATAGCAGACCCAAAAGTACAATTAATGGAATTTGTTTTATTTTGGGAAATATTATGAATTGATTATATATGTGTATTTGACCTTCTTTGATATTGTATGGTGTTGCTGTAATGCTATATAATAAGAATACTAAATTGAACAGGAAAGATGAGTTTTGGAATTGGCTACATCATGGAATTGTGGACAGTATATACAATGAAAGTGAGCCTAGTGAGAATGCTTATACGTTTGTTCTTGGACCACCACGTCTGCTACAAACAAGATCAAAGAACGGTGAGACAAATCTTAACCATTTTGTTACTTTTTGATCGACGCTCGTACATTTCAAAGCCTTTAAATGTTGTTTTTTGTAATTCTGTATAGTTGACGCCTGTTTTCTGTTTAGTTAAATGTAAAGCAACATCAGCCGTGCCACCATTGAATGCTGCAAGTATTACACAACGTCCATGTTATGGATCTCACACGTGGGTAGAATCAACTGAACACTATGGGATAGGATGGAATAGTAGCATTTCACGAAATTACACTTGGCGCTATTCAACACAAGGTGACACAGAAACGTGAGTACTGACTTACCGTCTCCAAGTATATGCTAAATATCAAAGCTACGACCACATTTTTATCTTATCTCAATGTTTAAGCTTCTTCACAGAATCCATTTAGGCGTACAATAGCCTAATTATAATTTTTCAACCTGATAAGTATAAAGTATATGTTTGCGTCTTCGTACTAAACAAAAAGTTAAGGTCATAGTTAAGCTTTAATGTCTTGTTTAAGAACCCCCATTCTAACTATTGAAAAATGGATTCTAGCAATACTCACCAACATGAATCTACATGTTGAGACTCGATCATCTTGAGTTCTTCTGAGAAAATGAAGATTTCAGCAGGTTGCATTGATTTAACATGGGGGACATACACCATAATTGACCCATGACTTAGCATCGGGATACCATCATGTATGTCCCCATGTTAAGTCAATGTACCCTTGCTGAAATTCTCTATTTTCTCAGAAGAACTCAAGTTGATCGAGTCTCACCAAACAGATTCATCTTGGTGAGTATTTCTAGATTCCATTTTCAATAGTTAAATAGGGGTTTTTAAACAGGACACTGGGCTTGCTTTTTAGAACCTTTTGTTGGTACTATGTTTTTTTACTACGTTTGACATAGTTGGAAACCATTGGCATATTGGTATTATACTGTCGTCTAGATACATTTCATTGATTTTATTTTAGGTATGGTATGTGGGGAGAGTGGGGTTGGTATAATGGAGGTGGCTACGTTCAACTTCTCCCATTATCATCTGACGAGGCACATCATCAACTTAACACGCTAGAAAAACAGAACTGGGTTGACAGAGGGTAAATTGATGTTTAAAGAGCATCTCGTACAGCTCCCAGTATAAACGAGCGTTCAATTTTCTAAACGTTATGCGCTACCCTTTAAAATAGCATATACAGGAAATCCTGAAATACTGTCACACCAAAAAAAGTTGTTTACTTGAAATGCACGTTAGAAATTTGTCAAAATATTGTAATGAGAGATATGTACATGGATGATTATTGTGTAGTGTCAGTTTAAATTAGTCTAATATAGTAGTATTTTGTGTATCAATTTATTGGAACTTGAGTTATTGTATATTACAGTATCGAATTGATGATATCAAATTTATTTTTCTAATAGAGTATGTTTTTTCTAATAAGGTAATTTTTGTGTCAGATTATCCTTGTGTTTATATCTGTTCATCATATGATTTCAACATATTGTTTTATATTGATTTGTTTAATAATATATGCAACTGCCAGGTCTAGTAAGTGCAGATTGGGCAATAATTAGAACTATCTGCCGACAGTGAATAGAAATAATTCCATTTATCTTGATTGCCATTGACATGTGAAACCACGAAAGCAACTAATGTCATAACATTTTGAATATTTCAGTACAAGGGCAGTTATAACAGAGTACACAGTGTATAACAACAATCGAGATCTGTATTCATCTGTCCGCTTATTGGCAGAATTCTCTCTCACTGGGGAAGTGATTTCGTCTATAGATATCCAGGTTGTGTCATATCAGAAGTTCATACTTGGCAAGATTAATGCAACTCTGATATGCCAGGTACTATTGTGAATATAGCACGATTAGGTTTTATAAAACGACATAAATTGTTGAAAAGTATCTTCCTTTCATCAAGCATTTATATACGTATTGTTGTTTATACTCGTACGAATACGTCATGTGATTTAATTGATTTAACACTATCACACGAAACCATTTTAATTTGGTATTTTATGGACATCTAAGAACGAGTTTAAGGTTTAATTGGTCTATACGATGTATATGGTTTGTGTTTTTTCCAGATATCGCCTTTTGAGATAGCTCAAGACATAATCTTTTTTTTCATTTCAGATGCTGTTGATAGCAGTGGTCCTATATCTATGTGGATATATAATCATGTCCATCATTGAGGAGAAAAAACTCTACTTTACTCACTTATCGAATTGGTTAGATCTGGCTATTGTCACTTCTGCAACAGCAACAATTGTTCTGTATATCTATAATATGGTGAATAGTACCAACTTGTTCAGTCGATACACATCAAATACTGGCTCATTTATGAGCCTGTCCTGGCTGGCAAATGGAATATACATATGGACCTGCATGAATGGAGTCCTTGTATTTCTCCTAATGATTAAGGTACACTTTATAATACCGATTGAAAGATTTCTTTGATTATTTAAATAATTAAAGAAATCCAAATTATAAAAATGTATATAACTACTAAAATATTTACTACAAATTGTGATACAGTCGAAATTCATCCCATGTATTGACTATTAT